GCAAATTTCTTCTCCCATTCAGTGGTTGACTTTTTGTTTTGTTGATAGTTTCTTTTGCTGTCCAGACACTTTTCAGTTTTATAGTCCCATTCATTTATTTTTGTTTTTATTTCCCTTGCATTTCAAATTCATGAAATTTTTTCTAAGACCAAGATACATAAGTTTAGTTCCTATGTTCTCTTCTATGTAATTTATTGTTAGGTCTTATATTTAGGTCTTTGACCCATTTTTAGTTAATTTTCATATATGGAGACAAACAGCAGTCTAGTACTGGTAGGAATGTAAAGTGGTATAGCCACATTGGAGAACAGTATGGAAAAAATTAAGAAAAAAGTTACCATATTATCCAGCAACTCCTCTTCTGGTTATGTGACTGAAAATTTTGAAAACATTTATTTGCAAAGATACATTCACTCCTATGTTCATCACAACATTATTTGTGATGGCCAAGACATGTAAACGACTGAAATGTACTTTGGTAGATGATTGTATAAAGAAGAGGAGATACTCATGTTCACCCTTACAATTCTGGTTTATTTGGCCAGTTCTGTGGCACTGGCCATAACAGCAAGTCAGAATGTGGTACCCATGACTATCCCTTTTAGGGTTTATGACAATTTTTTTTTCTTTTCAGGATTCTTGGTCAGTCTCAGAACTGCTATGCATTGGCTTTCATGGTTTCAGTACTTTAGTGTTCCTCAATATGGCTTTGTGGCTTTGCAGCATAATGAATTTTGGGACAAAACTTCTGTCTGGGATTTAATGTAATAACAAGCAATGCCTGTAACTTTGCAATATGTACTAGAGAACAATTCTTTTTTATATATTTTTATTTTTATTGATTTCAGAGAGGAAAGGAGGAGAGAGAGATAGAAACATCAATGATGAGAGAGAATCATTGATTGGCTGCCTCCTGCATGCCCCTCACTGGTGATAGAGCCCATAACCTAGACATGTGCCCTAACATGGAATCAAATTGTGACCTCCTGATTTATATGTTGATGCTCAACCATTGAGCCACACTAGTCAAGCTGTTGTAAATGAAATGGCTTTATTTAAAATTTATCACAATCAGTTTATGTGAGTCTGTTATCCTAATCAATATTTCAAAACAGGATTGTACGTCAGCCCGGTGGGTGTGGCTCAGTGGTTGAGCATAGGTCTATGAACTAGGAGGTCATGGTTCGATTCCCAGTCAGGGTATATGCCCGGGTTGTAGGCTTAATCCACAGAAGAGGATGTACAGGAGGCAGCCGATCAATGATTCTTTCTCATTGATGTTTCTATCTCTCTCTCCCTCTCCCTTCCTCTCTGAAATAAATAAAAAATATATTAAAAAGTTAAAAGTACAAATCTTGTGTGCCTATCTGTGCATGTGGGAATGGAAAAGCAGTATTTGTCCTACCTGAAAAGGAGTGCCACAGATTTACCACCCATGAAAGAAGTATCCTGTTGTGAATCTAATTGTCTCAGTCAGAAATCTAAGACTTTGTAGATTTAGGAAGAGTGTTAGCACTTTCTGGCAACCATACTTGTGATAACAGCCCAACAGAGAATGGTGAATATTGCTCTTTAATGGGCTAATGTAACAGCACATCCTCCAGTGATATGTCATCTCATTATCATGTTCCATTGTGGTTTACTTGCCTCACAAAACTTTCAGCTTGTTTTGAACACTTTTCCGTCAAGCATCAGCTACTGGCTGATTGTTTTCCACCACACTGTTCTGATTACCACTTTGTAAAGCTGGCTCCTCTTGGTTTTTCTTTTCCTTTACCCTGGTGCCTTCGCTGTCTTGAGGGCATTGCATTGAGCTGTTGACATTCAGTAAATCAGCCCCTGGGAACAGCAGGCATTCTCCATCTCTGCATGTATGTTTGTTCTAAAGGTCAGTGTTTTGTGATTTAACTTGGCATGGCTCTTGATTATACTCGATTCCAGTTTTTATTTGTGGTAACAGTTTGGTGATTTGTTTGCGAAAAAAGCTCCTTTCCAGGAATTTTCTTTTTTAAAATTCAATTAGGTTGTATTTTATGAGTTTTCATCATAATTTATAAACTATTCATTTTTTTAAAAAGTATTTTAGATGGAAAAAATTAACTTTCATAGTTGATTATTAGTAATATTCACTACCTATAAATTACAATAGACAAAAAAATATATCCACTAATGAATGAAAATACTTGTTTTTCTCAATGAATTACTCAGAAGTAACACGGAAAATCCTGAGATGTTTCTTCTTGTGATTTGTCATGAGGAAGACGTTACCTACCACCTTATGTGTCCCTCACAGAGTGTTTCTGAGACCAGCTTCACTGTGGGCTCTTTACTTCTTTCCTATACGCCGGGGCACCCTGCAGGAAACTCACTGCCATGCCCACAGTACCTCCCTACTTTAGATGACTCTTGTAGGATGATTACAGAATTCTAGCTGGCACTGGCTGGCTATCCCAGTTGGTTCAAGCTTCATCCCATAAGCCACGGTTGCAGGTTTGGTCTCCAGCTAAGGTATATACAGGAATCAATCAATGAATGCATAAATAACTGAAAAAACTAATGTTTTTCTCTCTGTCTCTTTCTCTCTCTCCCTCCCTTCTTTGCTCTTTAAAATCAATACATAAAATAAAAACAGAATATTTCACAGTGCACATTTTGTTACCTCACACTGAGTGCAGACAGTCCTAAAGTCTTGGGTAATATTTATGAGGATTGCATTGTGTAATCCATGTTTTAGGGAGTTACCAAATTTGTCATGCTTTATGCATCATTTTTTTTAGGATGCCTCTCTACTAACCCACTTCCATCCCTTTTTTTAAAGTTCCCCACCCTACAGACAAACATAAAGACATATACATGCATGCATACCTGAAATTCATATCACATGTTAGGGCAATCTGAGTTTTCTGTTGCTCTATGCTTTCCAATGCTTATTTGGAAAGTATACAGCAACATTTTCATTTCACCGTCATTTACTATTTGTTCTCATGATCACTAATATAAAATGTATAACACAATGTATATAGTAACATAAATATATGTACACATCATGCTAAAATCATTTGTTCAGTGTAATGACACAAATGCCACATTTTAAAAATAGACAGGAAAATTCTCATTTGTAGGGTAAGCAAAAAATTTCAGCAACAATGCTAAAATGTATTCTTTTGAAGAAATTCTTTCTGATTTTGGAGAATCCTACGTTTGAGTTTTTATAAGAACATACAAGAGATGTAATGTATTCCAAGGTTTTTAAAATGTTTACATTTCTGAGTTTGTACCAGTTTTAAATTTCAGAAAGATTAGAAGCTTAAAATATCTAGAGAGTGGGCAAGAGTGAGCATGTTTTGCAGTTTCACCTATTACATGGATCTGGCAAGATCCCTATTTGCATGTAAGTGGAGATCCCTGCCATGGAGGTCTTCCATGTTGAGAGCCAATGTTAGGGCTGTCTGTTCCCGACCAGAACCTTTGCTGACCTGGTTTCTGGACAGGCATCAGTTAGCAGTCTGGTCCTGCTGGTTGGAGGCCTGTATTTGGAAGCAGAGGTTCACCTTGTAGCCAAGGAGTGGATAGAAGGTTTAGAAAGTCCACTCTCTTGAAGATGCTCTACTATCATTGTTGATCTAAGCAAGCCTACTTCCTTTTTTCTTAAACTTCCAGACTAAAAGGCAGAATGACCTGGTGGAAAAGCATGAACTTCAGAATCAGATTTGGTTTAAATTTTGCCTCCCCAACTCTCGACTGTGTGATTTTTCACTTATTTCTGTGAGCCTTAGCTTCTTCATTTGCAAAATGCAGGGAAGTTTATAGGTATTAAATGGAAAAACAAATCCCAAGTGTCTGGTATTTGGTTAGGAATTAGTGGATATTATTCTCTTTCTCTCTCTCTCTCCACCACTAAAGAGTACAGGAGTGGAGTGAGTAACCTCCACAGCAGCCTGGTTTAGCTCCCCTTCATGGTTTGATTACACAAAACCTGGCTAGCCACATTTTCAGACAATGCCTTTGAAAATCATCTGTTCTATCCCCCAAAAGAGAACAAGTCATCAAAGAAATTCTAAGCTTAGGGAGGGGCTGACAGAGAGCAAGTTTTCTCTCGGAATTGTATTCGCGCCATGCTTTCCTGAATAATACTCGCTGGCATATTGCTGATGCAATGAGATTGTACATTATTAATGTATTTTTTTAAGATTCCTTAACTCAGTGTGAATTTTTTTCTTTCATCTTATGTTACACAAAACCCAACTGGAGATTTTAAGAAGGTGATGTGTAAGCAATACTTTTATTCACAGGTGGTTTTTCTCTTAGTGACAAGCATATACAAATATGCTGTTTTTGAAGTTTTTATCAGCTTAAACAAGAAAGTGACATTCCAAATAAATTAGATTGGCCAGAGGTTACATAATCTATTAACTGTTTGAGGAGTTATGATGCACTTAATTGAGCCAAACCCTCTCCTCCCATCCTTTCAAAATGCCCATAGGTTGGATTATGCACAATAAGAGATAAATATTTATTTTTAAAATTGATTAAAATATTATTGAAACAATGAGAAATTCAAAGACTTGGTGAGTTCTAAAACTAAGATATCTGCCTCTTTTTTCCTTCACTCTGTGACATCTTGGAATATGTAGTTCATAGTAATAGTCTCTGTGAGTACACCCTCTTTTTCACTAACCATTCATTATGACCATGTGAGGTAGATTTCCCTTTGCCTTCTCTTTCTGCAGTTTGATTCTAGAGCATACTATAACCCTTGAGTCATTTTGGAGTTACATGTATTAGACCATAATATCAAGATCTTAGATGATAGCATAGAATAAAAATGTAAACTATAATATGATTTTAAAACCACAAAGTAAAGTTTGCCAGTAGTTAGGTATTGATTGTTATCTTCAGAGATATTTTGAAAAGGGTTTCAGAACTCGTTTGAGTTTTAACTGAACAATTCACTGAAGAAAACACACTTGTAACTGTTTCTTTTTCTTTTTCAATTTCAGGGTCAGCCTGGTCCTCAGGTAAGTGAACTCTTTTCTAACAAATTAATTTCAGTTTAGGAATATTCCAGTGTGGAGGTTTTTCTGCAATTCTTTTTCAAAGGATATAGAAAGCTGTGAACCAGTAATGATGACACCACACAGTAGACCAAATATTTCCCAGGAGTAAAGCTTCAGCAAGGCCTCTTCAGGGCTCTATGAGCCACATCAGCTGTTGGGCCAGATGGCAAGATAACAATGCACTATCATCTAAAGCAAAACTCTTAACTGATCTGAAACATAGCCACAGGACTTTAATGTAAGACAGAAAGACTTACTAGATGTCGGCTATGTACTGGCTCGCATTAGGTACTGATTATTCGTATACTAATAATGTTGTTGTAAATCCACAGACTCTGATCCTACCAGCTTCATTTGATTCATTATAGATAGATATTGAATTCATTCCCCACTTTCAATATAAACCAACTGTTGAAGACATGATTTGCAATTAAATGTGCATACAGTCAATATAAAATCTTTTGAGCCCTAAATCATATTGAAGAAAAATGAGGAAATTTTAGAAGAGAGTAATGTGTATAAAGATGAAAGTACAAAAGGAGTGTGTTTTAGAAGTGAGTCAATACAAAACAACAAATTTAATATTACTACTTTATTGTAGTCTGTAGGAAGCTATAGAGAAGAAACTGACATTATTAATGTTTCGCCCTTAACACTGTAATACTTGTAAATAACATAATTATTTCTTGAGTTTCCCTTTTGTCTCTTTCCCTTTGACATACCTAATGCTATTTCTGTCCTTATTTGTTGGATAAATAAATGACTTTCATGATATCTTTGTTAGTCAATATCACAAATTATCTATTTTGTGCTAATTTTCATATTAGACCAAGAGAATGTTATTTATAATTTTTATGAGCTCTGTATTTTAAAGATGTGTGACAAACAAAATCCCCCATATACTTCAATAGAGCAGTCATCTTCACACTACACTCATGAGAAAATGTTTGACATGTAATTAATTTATATTCATTTAAAAAATACTCTCATTATTTGAGATTTTTCACTTACATTTTTAGTTGATTCAAGGTAATTATTGGAGGGGAAAAACTCACCAAAGCAAGTTGTAGCTTATTACCTAAGTTTGAAACTGTTACATTATATTGGGATGAAGACAAAAGAAAAGGTGTTTTGCCTGTTCTATTTTATTGGATGCTTACCAGAGCCTTGGGAAGTATAAATACAAAATAGAAGAGATACATGACTCACCTGGGATGATACCATACAACAGGGCGCAGGAGTCAAGTTTGTCTCTAAAACCCTCACACTCCTGTATCTCTCTAGGGAAGAAGTGAGATAATAGATAATCAAAGAAATTGGAGTGTTAACCAAAGACATTTGAGAGAGGATGATAATGTTTAACATATTTTAAATTTTAATGGAACTTCTGTCTTAGCCTGCATCACCTCTCACTATCCCAGAGCAGTTCTTAAGGTAAGGATTTGAGCATAAATAACTCATCTGGGAGATGGTCCCAGGAAGCATTGTGAAGAAGTGGGGAAATAATGCATGAAAATCAGGAAACAGATGCATCAATGAACAGGTTACTGCTGTGGACGGGCTCAATCCTACTGAAGAATTTAGGAGAGACTGTGTAGAGCTTGCCTCAAACTTGTCCCACCAAGTTTCAGCCAGGACTCTAAACACGAAGTCTTTAAAGAGGCATTTTTCCCAACATGCAGATGACTGAGGATCAATGCCATTGCTCTAAGTGTGGTTCTGGTGCCATGTTTCATTTGTAATAATTGGTTTTCTGCCAAGATCGAGGCATTCCTGTTCTGGTAACTGAGTCCTTTTTTGGCTTCCCAGTCCTACATCCCCTTTCTGTGTTCCTCTCTTCATCCGGGTCCTCCTTTTCCTTGTCCCTCTACTACCAGGTGTTAAGAGTCATGGTGCTATGTTTCCATGTCTCTGGGTTTATTTTTAACTGTTAAACCTCAGAGAGAAGGCAGGGGAGCAGGGAAGAGACCAATCAATGAACTCATATGTGTATATGGATGACCCAAGGACACAGTGGGTGGTGAAGGCTTGCAGGGAATCGGGAAGAAGGCAATGGGGAGTGGTATATGTAATACTTGCAACAATAAAGATTTTTTTTAAAATAACTATATTTCAAACATTGTAAAAGAAAAAAAAGGAAGTGTCATGATGCTAATGCTCTTTGCAACTTTGCTAATGACTAACAGAGAAACTATACAACTATATCCTCTAGCTCACTGCCCACTTGACAGGGTTTTACTCTTTCTTTCTCCCTCCCTCCCTCCCTCCCTCCCTCCCTCCCTCCCTCCCTCCCTCCCTCCCTCCCTCCCTTCCTCCCTCCCTCCCTTCTTCCCTCTCTCCCTTCTTCCTTCCTTCCTTCCTTCCTTCCTTCCTTCCTTCCTTCCTTCCTTCCTTCCTTCCTTCCTTCCTTCCTTTCTTTCTTTCTTTTTTCTTTCTTTCTTTCTTTCTTTCTTTCTTATTTCTTTCTTTCAACTCTGACTTCCCAGTTCTGTGAAGACATGACTTTTGCCTAGCCAATCATTGCTGAAGTGAGTCAGGAAAATGAGCATTTAATGTGTTTCTGTCTCTATGGCAAAGACACTGAGAATGGGGATTAAGTGTAGCATCAACCAATATCATCCTATACATGTCAGCTATATAAAAGATTTCTGTCATGAAATCTTTTGATTATGTCCTTCTTCTAACCCTATTACTTTGAATTTAATGTAATTACCATTTAGAGTGTAATAAAATCTAATTTCTTGCCTGACATTCACATCATTTGTATTGGCCTGTTTTTCAGCCTGATCTCCAGTTAATTTTTCATTAATGTTCTTTCTGGACACTGTGCTTCATACAAACCAAGTCAAACCATTTACTTTCCGCCCTTTAAATCTGTTTTTCTCCATTTATCTTTTCTTAAAATATAGTCTTTTCTCCAGAACTGCTTTCCTCTCAGTCCCCAGATACACTAGTTTCCACATATCCAAATATGATCACCTTTCATATTTACCCACCACTTCTCCCATCAAGATGTCTTTATTCTCCTTTAACTGAATATTGTCTCTCCCTTTGCAAGCTCCATGATCTTGGGCAAGTTACTCAATTACTGAGTCTCATTTTTCTCCCTGTAAAGCAGAGATAATAATGTCTTATCTCAACAGATGGTTTGAGGATTAAACTAAGAAAATATATGTATAACTTCTAACTTGGTGCCTAGTACACGAATGCAATCAATAAGTAGTAATTCCCTACTTTCTATTGTATCACTATAATTTATAAAAGATATTTCTCTCATTATAACTAGCTATGATCTTCAAGAGTGAGATCTATGTTTTCTTTCATCTTTAGAATCCTCTTTAACACTTGACATAGTTCCTTGTAGACGGTAGAAGTTCAACAAATGCTATTGAGTTGTGAATGTTAAGGAAAATAAAGTCGAGGAACTAGAGGCATGGATATGTGGAACAGACTGAAAATAGGAGGAGCGTGGGGTGGGCTGTATAAAAGGAGGTGAAGAGAATAGCCAAAGAACATATATGCATAGCCCATGGTCACAGACAACAGAGTGGTGAAGACCTAGGGAGGGAGGGAAGGGCCTTGGGGGGACATCTGTAATAGTGTCAGCAGTTTTTTGAAAAGGATATCTGTGAAAAAATAAAAATTAAAAAGAAAGCAGAGGAAGAGAGAACGCTATTGGCATCTCACAATTCTAAATGCCCCAGTCAGTAATACCACTTACCACAGGTCTCTAAGGTTTCCACACTCTGAGATTTTACTGAGCTCTATTAATGTTATTATCTCACTTCCACAAGGTTTGGGGAGTTTGGATACCTTTGCTTCCTTTCATTTCATAGTATATTTATATTGGTATTTAGTTTTGGTGAATGTAAACAGATAGTATTAACCCAGGGATATGCTTATAATGTATTTTATTTTGTAACAATTTATTTGTAAGATTCAAGGCTTGGTTTTGAATTTTAATAATTGAGACTACTATAGAAAGTAGTTCATGGTGGTTGTGTGTAATGCCACATTGCTAAAACAATAGCATTCTCTTACTAATAAATAATTTAATACAAATTGTAGAAACAAATTGTTTTTAAAAATCCTTCTCAGGATACCATCTCATATGCTTTAGAAAAATACTTCAACCCTTTTCCCACCGAAAATCACTCCATCAGTGGAATCATTTTGTTAAGTGAAAGTTACCTCTTCCATATCCAGGACATTTCTTTTGCATGAAATTTTTAGAATTTAAAAGCCCTACTCATAACTCCTCTTTGGAGTTGCATGTAAGCATAAAAGAGATATAATTCCCTTAGGAATTTGCAGTACTAAAGCAGCATGCATGTTGTAATTCTGTATTACTCAGTGAGAAAAAAATGTAAGAGAAAACCACAAGCAACCATCAGACAACTGCACATGGAGGCGAGTGGCTTCCATTTGTATTTTCTTGAAAAGAAGTGGAAGATGTCACTTTGCCTTTCCTTCCCAAACCCCCGTCTGCTTTGTTTGTTTGTTCTGATATTGTCATTGCCATTGCACAACATTTTACAAAAATCAAGCTGTGTGTGCCTTGTAAAGAATTCTTTCTGATATTTTGGGGCAGTATTTAACTTTCTGTTCATATGTTTTTAATTATATACTAAGCTCCTTCTAACCTAACACTTTAGCAATTCCCATATTTCATGTTTGTGTTTCAGTCCAACCTTTTTCCGATCCATATAGTCTGTCTTGGGGGCAGAGGGAGGACATCTACATTCTGCAAGAAATTTGGAAAGCAGTGCATGTGTGTGAGTGCACGTGTGTATGTGTCTCTGTATGTGGAAAATCTTTATTTTGCTTACTATATAATAGAACTATCATATTAAACTAGTAATCATTAATAAGTCATGCTATATTTCATAATGCATTATCATTTCCCATTATCTATATTTTATGTTGTGGTTAGATGATAAAGAGAATGATTATTAAAGTCC